TAATATAATATAATATAATATAATATAATACAATATAATAATAATAATTTATAACAACAAGAATTTAAAATAAATGTTTTAAAAGTTTTTTTTAGGTTTTCCAATTTTTTGAAGTTTTTCCAGTTTTTTCCATTTGCTTCTAGTTTTTTCCAGTTTCTTTGAGTTCGTTTCAGTTTTTTTTTGTTTCTTCCAGTTCGTTCCAGTTTCTTTCCGTTCTTCCAGTTTATTTCAGTTTCTTCCAACATCCAGCTCTTTTTTTTCAGTCCTAAAGAACGGGCTCTAAGTGATATTTAAGGAATAGAAAAGTTAAAGTGGTACATTAGAAAATGAATTATATTTCAATGTTATATAGTGCAAATATTTTATTTCTGCCCATTTCATTTCTTAACCAATTAAGAAATGAAAAAAACTACTAACCAAATTATACTAACATAAACAAAAAAAATTAATCAAAAAATTAATGTCAACATACACAAATGACAACAACATGGTATATATATATATATTCGAAATAATACTGCAGTAGAATGAAATCAAGACATACAGGACAAGAGAAGAGAGACGAGCTAGGGACACTGCCCTACTACTACTACTACATCACATACATTAGTTACCATAACACAAGATGGAAGGATGTAGAGTAGAGTAGAATTGCATATACTCAAATAGGGTACACAATTTTGATTTAAAAAAAAAATGAAAGAAAAAGAAAACATGCATCGCATGCATGCATCAGGTACAGCGACCGCGGCCTACCCCGAAGCCGAGCCTCCAGTTTTTGACGTCGTATACCACATCCAAAGTCTGCTGCTGCGTGTTTCCGAAAATGCCCACATCGGCGGGGTTCTCGTTTCCGGCGAAGGCCAGGCACACCTGCGCAAACTTTTGGTCCAACGCAATTAAGATCCCGGTGGACGGTATTTCCACAGTCACGTTCCCGCGGAAATGGAACTCTATATTGGGGAAGGTAATACTACCCCCGCTGCCAATCCTGCTGAAGTCGAAGCAGGTGTCAAATAAGGAAAAGTTCTGCGCTTTAGTGTAATGTTTTTTCATCATCTGCCCCGCGAAGGCTGATTTGAGCGCCTTGTATGCATCGGGCGGGAGCCGGGTTATGACGGTGCCGGAGTCGATGATGGTTCCGGCATTGCGGAAAACTGCTGGCTTAATCTGGAGTCTCTCCCCGCCCACGCTGATGGACTGGAGTTGGGTGTAGTAGAAAGACGCGTCGTTCTTCATCTCCGTCAATGGCGTGAAGCGGATCAATTTGTTATTATTTATTCCACCTCTGTTCCCGAATTCCAGATAGCCTCCATTTCCGCCTGGCGTGGGGAGGCAGTAGGAGAAGATTCTGTCGTACCTTTTTGCGGTCTGAGAGACGACCGAAAACTTGCCGGGGGAGAGGCCGAGAAGCCCCGAAGCAAGACCGAAAAGTCCATGGTTTCTCTGCCCGCACCCGAAAAAGAAGCTGTCGAATGTATCCGACGACGAAGACGACGACGTCAAGCTCAATCGTTCTTTTGCAAAGTAGCCCACAGTGTAGGACCCGTCGCCGTACCTTATCCCGTACACGCAGGTGGCCGACGAGCAATTCCCTTTGAAGGGCTCCAGGGCAGAGCAGAGGGGGGAGGAGCATGATACGTTGGAATAGGTTTTGGAATACCTGGGGTCGAAAATGGGAAAGCTCTGCCGGTAGCACTCCTTGACGCAGGGACGGCACTGAGTCCAGGTGATGTCGGACCCGGTGTCGAAGACCAGGGAGAGGGTCTTCGCAGGGCTCCCGATGCTGACGTTGACGACGTAATTCAAGGTAGAAAGGGAGAGGCCGGAATGAGCTGGGAGATCGGTGGCGGCCGCGTCCTCCTGGCTGAGGCCATTGACCATGCTGCTGACTCTGGCTCGGATTGAGCGGGCTCGCAACTCGTCCCGGGCCAGAATCTGGGCCTTGCTAAGTGGGGTGGACTCATCAAGTCTTGAGGCGGCACAGGGATGATCCCTGTGAAGAACCTCTATTGCTCCCGCTCCTCCAACTAAATTTGAACAATAATGTTAGTTTCACCACAATTCTATTTTTGACTTTTTCCCGTCAATTAATTTTAACTTTTGATTTATAATTAAATTATGTATATATATTGTTCCCGTCATCACTAATGTTATTTTCAAAATGTTATTTTATGTAATTAATGGAATACATATTTTGAATTGTAGCTAAACATCAAAGAAGGGAGTGGCAAGGGTGGGGATTTAAGGGGATTAGAGGAGTAAGAATATATATAATCATAAATTTTGCTAATGAAGCTCCGTAGTTACATGATTTATATCAGGGAGCGTCTAAAATGACACCAATTACTTATACACCAGTTGCTTACACCAGTTCGTTTGGAGTACCTACGATGCTCCGTTTGTAAAAATGACGGTTCCAACCCCCCCTAACCCTCCCCCTAAACCCCCCACCCCAGCCCCCCCTCCCTACCCTGGCAGTATACTGCCAGGGTAGGGAGGGGGGGCTGGGGTGGGGGGTTTAGGGGGAGGGTTAGGGGGAGTTGGAACCATCATTTTTACAAACGGAGCATCGTATGTGTCCAAACGAACTAGTGTAAGCAAATGACACCAGTAGCACTGGTGTCATTTTAGACTTACCGTTTATATCAATATATAAATAAAAATATTAATGATCATCATAAGTAACATTGAGATTGATATCGAAAAGTCAAACAAGAAGAATATATTTACAAAGTTAGCTAGGGTGCATGGAGAAAGTGATTGATAACGTACCGTGTGAAGGTGAACGACCATTGCAATTGGATTGCTGGGATTGAGGAAGGAGAGAGGTGAGAGGAATGGTGTGGAAGTTGTTGGTGGCTGCAGCCGCCTCACTGGTGAGTAATGCAAGTAATAAGAGAAGAAAGCAATAATAACCATATGGAAACATAATTTGGTTGAAGAGATTCTCACCTCTTGTCATTATGTTATATTCTTGTATTTCTCTCTACCGACCTCTTAGGGGCCTATATATATATATATATATATATATATATATATATATATATATATATATATATATATATATATATATATATATATATATATATGCAAAATTGGGATCGTATACTCCGTAAGTTTTACTCCCTAATAATAATAATAATAATAATAATATTATTATTATTATTATTATTATTATTATTATTATTATATTATTATTATTATTATTATTATTATTATTATTATTATTATTAAATGTGTACTCGATAGAGGGATCTCACGTCTAGCTAGTAACCTTCTTTTTTTATAAATTTTCTAGCTGGTTTTTTGTGCCTCTAAAGTCAAAAGTAAATCTTCATCAGTTTCATATTAGGCATGCCGTTTTTTATTAAATATGGTCAAAATATACCCCCTTTATTTTTTAGTACCATACTCCCTCCGTCCTAAAATTAACTTTCCAGTTTGACTTTTGTAGTTAAACTTTTTAAACTTTGACCGTATATTACGGAAAAAATACATTGAGTTTTCATATAAATTTATTGGCAATAGATTCATTCTGAAACATAGTTTTGAAATATATAATTTTTATAAAATTTATTTATATAAAAATTGAGATATTGATGGTCAAAGTGTCGCATTGGAGACCGTGAAAAGTCAAATGGGAAGTTAATTTTAGGACGGAGGGAGTATGTTTTAATTTTCCAATTTATTTGTACCATTATTTAATGTCAACTGGACATTATTCAATTGAGTGTCTACTGTCATAAATGGGCATTATTTAAAATAAATGTTTACCGCCACTGGACATTATTGAAGTACTCCCTCCGTCCTATAAAGTTAGTCCCGTTTTAAAAAATTTGCGTCTCTTAAAGTCCGTCCCATTTCTAGTAAAAATATATTTTTACTCCATACTTTTTCATACTCTACCTATCACATCATATCTTTTTCGTAATAATCTGTCCATCATCTGCGAGTATTTTGTTGCATGTGTTGCATGCATAATCAAGATCATTGAGGGCAATGGTGGATCCAGAAAAAAATATGACTGGAGGCAAACACACACTAAATAGTATGGTGGGGATTCAGGGGTAGCGCTCACAATTTTTTTAAAGCGTTTGATAATGATAAAAATAAATAAATTTAATATCAAGAAGTATTCAAATAAGAAAAAAGTATTTTAAAGTAGAAAAATAAAATATAAAGTATATCATAACATAATATAATTATGATATTTCAAATATTTTACCTGTATATCTTTTCAAGTAATTATATTTTACTTTTAAACTAAAATTTTCTTTTGTCACTAAGGGCAAACTAATTTTTTACCAAGGTCATTCTTTTAATTTTCTACAAAAATATTTATTTTAATAGTGTATATTACGGAGTAAAAAAAAGTTGACTGGGGGCGACTGCCCCGTATTCATGTATGTAGATCCTCCCCTGATTGAGGGCATAGCATAAAAACTTCACTGATGACGAATATATCTTAGGCTTTCACTAAATCTACGCATCATTGAAAAAACTCCATACCTTACAAGATCCATTTTTTTAAGTTACCAACCAAAAAGTGTTCATCATAATTAACTTTGTTGAATCTGATTCTAATTCCCTAATTAATCTTCTTTACTAAAGAAAGATTGAATGTGTCACCAATACAATAATCTCTCCGTCCGAAAATATTCTTCTCATTTGACATTTTATGTATTGGATCGGATGTGTCATTACCAAATCCGTATCCGTTTATTTTTTTCGGATATCTGTTAGCATGAAAGCTCACCAAATATATTGAGAAAGCTCACCAAACATATATAACTAGAAAGCTCACCAAACATAACTAGAAAGCTCACCAAATAATTTAAGACTAAGATTTTGTTTTTTACATGAAAGCTCACCAAATATATTGAGAAAGCTCACCAAACTTAACTATAAAGCTCACCAAATATATTGAGAAAGCTCACCAAACATATATAACTAGAAAGCTCACCAAACATAACTAGAAATCTCACCAAATAATTTAAGACTAAGACTTTGTTTTTTACATGAAAGCTCACCAAATATATTGAGAAAGCTCACCAAACTTAACTATAAAGCTCACCAAATATATTGAGAAAGCTCACCAAACATATATAACTAGAAAGCTCACCAAACATAACTAGAAATCTCACCAAATAATTTAAGACTAAGACTTTGTTTTTTATATGAAAGCTCACCAAATATATTGAGAAAGCTCACCAAACTTAACTACAAAGCTCACCAAATATATAAAGAAAGCTCACCAAACTTAACTACAAAGCTAACCAAACTTAACAACAAAGCTCACCAAACTTAACTACTAAGCTCACCACATATATTGATAAAGCCCACCAAACATTACTACAAAGCTCATCAATTTTTTATACCCATGTATTGGGTTATTAACAAGAAGGCAATTTTGTGGCACATTTGCGGAAGGAAATGGATGAGAAGTGCCCGATGTCCATTCTTTTTACTCTTAAATTTTTATCACAATCTAATACTCCCCCCGCCCCGTAAAACATGGGAGTTTTGCTTTTTAGGATGGATTTAAGGTGAGTGTATTTTGGTATTGAATTTCCAAAAATATCCTTTGATGTGATGGGTAAAGTATGATTTGATGGATAGATTATTAGTAAAAAGGTATGATGTGATAGTTAGGGTATGAAAAAGTAAGGGGTAAAAGTGACTTTTTAATAGAAATGAGAAGTGTTTTGTGGGACGGATAAAAAAAGAAAGGAGAAATGTTTTATGAGACGGAGGGAGTATATTTTTTCCGTAATTTATTCTCAAAGTTTAAAACGTTGGCCCCAAAAGTCAAAATGGGAAAAAATATAGTCATCGTTTAAAAGCATTGACGAAAAAAGTGATAATGAGACGAAAGATATGAGACAGAAAGAATATTCTCAATATTAATATTCTTAAGTTGCTAGTTTTTGAAAAAACCTTTCATTACCAATTTGGTCAGGTTGAGATTCCGCCGGGTTTTATCCATATTTTACGGGACATTTCAAGTTCAATGTCATTCGGCTTCAGTCATCCTTTGTTCAAAATTCAGTATTTCAAAGACGGGTCTCTGGTAAAAAAGAAGTCGAGCTAATTTTTGTCAAATGGTTATCCGAACTGGACATAGTGTTGTATACTTCCACTCCAAGTATTTAACCCGAATAAAATACAGAAATCCCAAAAGAACTAAGATTCTGAGATACAAATATCATTAAGAATAGTTCCTAGATGGGGGAAACGGAGAATAGATTACAATGCTTAGACAATCATAGATTAAAAAAAGAACACATAGGTTTCCCCAAATGAGATGCTCCACAATGTCACAATGGGCACTACGAGCAAATAGGTTGCGATAAAGTCTTAAGATTTCTAAATCTCAATTGTCAACAAAAAAATAAAACCTCTCAAAGCATTCAACTCCCCATTTTTTTTGCATAGTCCGCAATAAAAAAGACACTAAGACGGAACAGTAGGCATGTGTTCAGAGCTCAAATTCCACGATACAGAACACTAAGACTATCACCTCGGCTTCTGCTACTCTCTAAGCTGTAGCTGCTAGACCTCCCTATTGTTGTTTTGCTTCAAGTTAACAGGTGATAGTCATTGTAAAAAGAAAAAAAACCTCAAATCAGGTGATAGTCAACTTTAAGAAATAAAGACACCAACAAATCTCAAATCAACTAATCTCAAATCAGCCTCCCACATGACCAAAGCAACAACATTAATAATCCAAATAATAAGCAACATAATTGTACAAAAACTGTTCAGTCAAGTCAAAATCCATTTGGTCAGCTTATTGCTACACACACACTTTGATGATGATCATATCGATAAGTGTAACAGATGAGAAGTTTCTTAGAGTAAGAAGACACCCACAACCTTGATCTTTTGAAATATGACATATCTTTACATGAATACCCTGATTACTTTACTTATATATAAAGATAAATATTTGGAATCAGATTCGATTGCACATGATACCTGTCAAGGTAATCTCTTTCAGGATCCTAAATAACAGCGTATATGCTAAACCACGGGAGCATATTGGTTACTCTTCATCACTGCTGCTTTTGCTATAAAAGAAGGATTATTAAAATCTAAATGTAAGTTAAAATGAAACAACTAAAATGAAACATTTAAAAGTAACCTGTTGTTTTTTAATGGACAATTACGGCTGTCATGCGTAGTCATTTTGTTGCATGAACGACAACGTCGAGTGTGCTTTTGTTTTTCTTGACCCTTCTCCACACCACTCTTAATCCTCCTTTTCCTTCCCTTCGTGGCTCCAATGGTAGGAGGATGGATTTCAACTCTATCAGGCACTTTGCATCCAAACTAAGTTTCCAAGTCTTTCCTTTTATCATTTCCAACTGTTGGCCCCATATCAGTGAGTTCATGCTCAAGGGAAGTCGTATTCTCTAAAATCACTTTCAATTTCTCATAATCTCGCCCTGCCAGAAGCATGCAGTTGTAAAACTTGCACCAGATATTAGACAAAGTTTGATTCTCTAGCTTCGTTGTGTTAAATGTTTCATCAAAATGCACCGTGCCTTCAACAACAGCTCTTTTCTTTGCATATTTTGTCCATCTATCGAAAATATAAACCTTTGGCAGCTCTCTAAGCCCTTGTCCATTTAAAACTGATAGAATATGCCTACAAGGGATTCCTTGTGACACAAAAAAATGGCAGGAGCATGTGGCAGCTTATTCAGTCAGATCACTATAGCGGACATTGTACAGCTTCCCTTTTGCACCACGATTATCTCTTACGGCTATCAGTTTTTGACCTTCAACAGATTCCATCCCTTGGATACCACAGTAGCATAAGCCATTCCAAAATTCTTCTTGAAAGAAGTAAAAATTGGTGTGTGTGTAAACCTCCCGTGCATGGCGCTCCAAGGGTAATTCTGTTCTTAGAACGGGATTTGAAGTTAATGATGCATTCTATTATTTGTACTCATTGTCACACTGAGTATCAATGACATGCTGAAACCGCAACCAAAATTCTACCAAACTTATTAGTTGGTTTGTCAAACAACTGAACGTTTGGTTTTGGCTTTCTGAACCCGACGCTGTTCTTACAACAGCACCTAAGTATGTGGTATCAAAATATACTTGGGCCCATTGCTCCTTTATTGAAAAGATATGCGTGAACCAATCATTACATAACAAATCAAAATAAGTCATTATGCGTAGCCATTCCTCTTCAAATTCTTCAGGACTCTCTGAGGACCAAACACAGGATTTCAAACGCGTATGGAAGTCTTCAGATGAATTCACAGTGGGGCCCACATATTCCGGAACTTTTTTTAGTATATGCCAGATGCAAAATCTATGTATTGATTTCTTAAACACTTCAGAAAGGGCTAACCTAATAGAATGGTCCTGATCAGTAATTATACTTATTGGTTGCTTCCCTCCCATTGACTCTAAGAAATTTGAAAAAAGCCAAATAAAGGAGTCTCCTTTCTGATTACAAACTAACGCTGCCCCAAAACAAATCAACTTACGGTGGTTATCCACACCAGTAAAGGGGCAGAAAGTAAGATCATACTTATTCGTGCCATGTGTTGTGTCAAATGAGAGTATATCTCCAAATGAAGAGTAATTTAAACGACTTAATGAATCAGCCCAAAACACTCTCTTCAAGCGACTCTCTTCATCCACTTCATATGCAAAGTAAAACCCTAGCTCTGTCTCTTTTATCCTCTTTAACGTGCCAATAAACATATGGGCATCATTGTCCTTAATGATGGCCTTCAAGCTTCTTTGATAGTTCAAAAAATCCTTTTTCGTACAACCCACATTTTGATGACCCATCATTACCTCAGCCGTAACATCAAAAACCTTAGAGGGACCTACATTGACTCTACTAGCACTACACAACATGTGCTTGTGCAATGTAGAAACTTCCCTCGATGAAGATATGAAATGTCTTCTGCTCGGAGTAACCATGGGATGGACATGGGACTCTTCGAACTGAATAATCTTACAACCCTCCTCACATGAAACAACTAAAATACGAGCGCGACAACCTTCTCGAGTTTCAGCTCTTTTCTTTCTTTTTGGTTGTTTTGAGGTTATTGATTCTTCAGATAGGGGATACTGCTCAGATAGGGGATCCTGCTCTTGAGGATGGGTTATAACTTCAGAGCCAGTTTTAGGTTGTTTCCTAAAGCCTTCTTTTGAACACACATATGTTTTCCAAGTTTTATACCCATTTCTACTTTTTGAAGATGAACCACAACGTATGCTAAACCCTGATTCCCGGGCATACTGATTGTAGAACGCTTGGCATTCAACAAAACTCAAAAAAACTTGACCTATTGTAATCTTTAAGTTGTCTGGTACATCAAGAACCCAAATCCCCAAAGTTATAGAAGCAAATGATGGCGTTTGTAGAAAACTAGAATCAATTAAATAGCTTTCCATTTGCATAAGATAAAAGCAACCTATAGAATATGTCAAAGAGGGAGAAAATAAACATAAACTGTAATTTCTTATCATGAGGAAAAGTGAACATAAACCGTGTTCAATTTCTTGTGCACTTTTATTTATCTATCTGGAGAAAATCAAGGAAAAAATGGAACGTTTAGAGCCGAAAAGAGCAGACATCTTGAGGCAGATAAAAGAAGCTGAAGGTCATAAGACAACAGGCTTCTGCTGTGGCAGAATGATGCACATTAGGTTGCATATGTTCATGTTTGAATGTCTTTTCTGTATTTCCATGTTGGATGTTTACAGCTTAATAATGCTCAGTATGGTGACGTGTAAGTGTGTAACATAATAGAATGTTAATTGTGTCCTGATATGTGTTTAACTTGTGACTCCAGTAGTTGTGCTTGGATCAGTTAGACACTCAGTTAGGATTTATTGTGCTCTTAAACTAGACACTTGATCACTGCCTACCCTCCCTCCCACCACTGGTTTTGCATCACATCAACTAGTGTGATGGTGATTACTCTGCAATTTTGATGGTTCAATTTTTGCAATTTTGATAAGGTCCATTGAAAGCCTGTACAGAATGTATCCATTTTGATAAAACTCACCAAACATTTTGATAAAACTCACCAAACATTTTGATAAAACTCACAAAACATTACTGAGTTTCCACATTCTTGTTTGTATATTAAGGATGAATATAACAAGATAGCAACCAAAATAAATCTTAGTACTCACTCATTGAGAATCCATCAGGTATCTCAAATCACCATACTCACAAATTAATAGTCACAACTTTTTTCATACCTTTCTCCATTACTTTCATCACAAAGAAAAGAGCTCTTTTTGATAAATTCTCCTAAAAAAGTTATCCTAAAAAGGCATAAAGAAACAGAGTAGAACGAATTACCTGGTAAGTAGTATGCTGTCCAACGGATGAAGAAGAAGGAATACCCTTGACTAATCCAATGACAAGTTGAATTCGATGTCTTCCATATCTGGGAATTAAATGCAGAGGTCAGATAAAATTCGCGTGAAGAAGCCGATGAATTTGAAAGTGATTAGGAAGATTAATTGAAGAGGCGGATAGGGATTTCAGATTCGAATTTAAGAAGAAGATGAAATTGGAGAAGAGAGGATGAAAATTGGAGAAGAAGATGGCATAGGCGACAATTGGAGAAGAAGATGGAAACGGGAAGAGGATGAAATTGGGGAAGAAGATGGAAACGGGAAGTATGAAGAGCGCGCGTGTCATCTGATGGGAACCGTCATCTTACCGAAACTCGTCATCT